GTCGACCGCTAGAATCGTTTGGAACCATTTGTCGATGTTCCTTTGGGCCGGGGTCTTGGCTGAAAGACTCGACTGTGAAGCGCTACCGACCACAGAGCATCGTACGGGAACGGCTCGCTTTGGTTTGCCTGACTTTTTGGGGAGCTTTGGCGCCAGTGCGACTCTGCTTCCGCAGGATATGGTACTTTTTTCCTCGTGAAGACTCAACGCTTCGATGCACCTGGTATTCTTCATAATATGCGTCGGAGAGAGCTTTCCACGACAGCTCCGGACGGGCATCCAACCATGGGAGAAGGCTTTTCTCCTCCCATTCTGGCCAGCCGCAAGCGTTACGTGGAGACATGGTTATGCTTGGGTAGTTGGCAGAAGTGGTCAGAACAGGTGAAGAAAACTGCAGAAAGTGAACTTGTAGATGTAGGTTGTTGAGTTTAAAAGATTGAAGTGTGGCAGATAAAACCGACTTTTATGTGTTTATGAGACCCAAACGAGCCCTCATTTTTGATGCAATGTACATTGTTGAGAATCAACAACGTTGAACGCGGCCACAACAGTCCGTTCTTGTTGACAATTTCCCGTTGTTTCACCAATTGGTAAATTTTATTGTCTGATCCGCCTCTTAGTGAGTCATTGTTAAAAAATGTGCGGATTCAGCAATAGATATCTACGGGCATAATGTAGGAATGAAAAATGCGTGCACTTGCGAACCCCTCCTCAATTGCGAGCAAGCAGTCAATCCTGATCCCGCGATACAACATGCTATAAAACCCGAGCGCCTCCTCCTATCACAGAAAACCAGAACTAGGACCACTCCTCACCCCATCGTAACTCAGACCCAAGTATGGGCGGAATTCGGAAAGTCTCGCACACTCCTCGACGACACAACTTTCGAAGCCGATTGCAACGTGCATTGTCCTTGTCGTCTTCTGAGTCTGAGGATACTGGTAGTCCATCCATATCCGCTACAGGCGATACCACAGAGGACGATTCATCCTTTCAGGAGGAACACGACTCTGTCGACCAGGACAATAGCACCTCGGCCGATGAGAGTGAACAAGAAGCTGTACAACAGCGGATGACTGTGTTTGGACACCAAAGGGACTTGGAACCACGTGGGCAGACTCAGCTTTCCGGAGATGGCAATTCGGTTGCTCTGGAATGCCTGACGGAGTAAGTACAATCCTATCAAGCACATAATCATGATTGGCCTGCTAAAAGCATCTAGACTAGATAACCGGATGCGGTCAGTTGTGGTCCATCTTGAGTGACAATGTAAAGCGCTAACTGTCTTCGCAGGTCTATTGAGGGCTCGTCGCATGACCAGGCCACCTGGAATGAAACCATTCGCAACGATCTGGCGGACATTTTTAGTCGATTGGCAATCGTCGAAAGTGAAATCCAGAAGGGGACCAGGCAGGGTTCAAACAAAGCTACAGAGGGCCAGAAGATCGGCCGATCCCTGCGTCGGCAGCAGTGATGCGACTGGAGGTTTACTTGGATGCCGAACCATGTATATCAGACCAAGGTCAGTCTGTATTGGTCTTGAGGTATGACCACCAGTTCAACCAACAGAATATGAACACGCTCATCATTGACGCCGGATTGGACGGTCACTGGATAAGCCTCAATTGACTCAGTGCCAAGCTAATGCCATGGCGAGCGATGGACCGTTTGTCGTTGCATGGGGTGTTTGTATTTTACCAGTGATCTTCTAAGCTCTGCAGACAGAAAAGTTTGACTGGTATATGGACTGTACCGAGATGGCTTTTTTGAACCCTCGCGCTATTGTCGCGAGCCACCACATTTTACCGAGTAGATTAAATGATAGGTTCTATTCGGGACTGTTGCGCGAGAGCCCCGTGCGTCGGGCCCATGATATTCCGTGCTGGACATCGCACGCAAATATCGCCTGGCCATCCCCTCCCTCGAAAACAACATCGTCGTTTCAAGGGAGAGCCGGGCTCTCTCCGCGACGGTTTCTTCCCGCCCACCGCGGAACCCCCCTCATGTATATACCACGTATGCTTCCGCATAGTCATTATTTCCTCCTACAATATACGGAGTGCCACGGGCCCGCCTGCAGCCCTCACGGCGCTGTAGCCCTCCCTCAACGAGGCCTACATCGCCAGTGCTCAGACCGCAGGTGCCCCGTGTGGGCCAAAATATCTCATTCGTCTTCATTTGTGCCAGTGTAGCAATGGTTGGAATAGATCTTTGATTAGTTCCATCATTGCAGCTGATTTGTATTGCCTGGCCCACTATGCTTGTACTCGGTCTGTGTAAGTGAGGAAATTTTCAAGAAAGCTAAAACTACAGTAGTGCTCAAGAATCGCACACATGTAACAAATGATCAAAGATTGGTTGCGGCTATTGAAGTACGATCCTTAGCGGTTGATACGCACAGTAGTGCCACATTTATTCACTTGCGATATCTGACCCAACGAGAAACTGCTATTTGTTATTGAATTGGACAGAAATACTACGGCAAGCTTTGACTGAACGCCGAGAAGAAATAATGGCTATAATGTGCAAGAGAAGCGCGGGCTTCTCCACGAAACCCATAACACAGATATTAGCGATATTCCAATCGGATCATTAGAGAAGCTTTTCCTTTACGGCATGAGAGACCATGTGAGTAACAATCCACAGGCCAACTTGGTAAGGTATTTTTTCTCATCTAAAGCGTATCTGAGAGTCTCGGCCTTGATAGGTCTGATGCTGAATACCGTATCGAGGTGCTTGCGCGTGCTCAAGTTACGAAAGAACGTAGCCCTGACCTAGGACAATTGATAGAATTTACAATACACACGGGTTGGCACAGGACATATATAATCAGAACGTAGCAAAATGCTTCTTCAAGAAATATCTGCACGTCGGATACAGCGAAAACCATCTTCTGCAGGAAAGTGAGGACCTTTTCAGGCTAACGCACCCTAATCGTCAGACAAAAGATTCATCTCAGTTGGCGGTAGGTAGTTCAGGTTGAATACCTGGGACATGGTTACTTTTCGATTCGGAGATGCTGGGAAGCATATCCTGGCCAAGCATACCCGCGCCGCCCTGATCGGGCCATTCTGCCTGGATCATTCCGGAGCCCGGCAAGTACGTTGCCAGTCGTCTGTTCTGGAGGACGTCGATTGCACCCCAGAATCGAGTGGTTGCGGATACCAGCTCTGCGTGTGCCTGATCCAACACCAGCTGTATATCATTCCACGGGACCTGATCTTGCAGAGCGGTGTTCGTGGATTCCACTTGCAGCTACAATTGGCAAATCTCACGCTGGAGCTTCTGCTGCTCGGCTAATGCAGTATAGTATCCCTTGCCATGACAGCGATTTGCAGTTCCGAACTCTTTTGCGCTTTCTCGGCTTTGAGCTGGTCCAGCAACTGAGAAAGATCGTGGTTCTCTCCATTTCTCTCCTCAAGCACCTCTTGAAACTCCTCCTCGATATTGCTCATCATCCCGGAGACAAGAACTTACGCCATGCCCGTCGATGTTAGCAGCAATGCTGCACTCGTAGACCCACTTTATTGGTGACCTCACGCAGTCAAGAGGAGCAAGAAGAGTGTAGTTTGGCCATAACGGGTCACCTGTCGCTGCGGTCGTAGACCGTAGCGTCAGATAGGGCCCGTTCGCGCTCCCTTGTGGAGAGGCAATATGTCTGTATTGTAGTGAATTCTATATACAGAGGGAAGGCGGGAGGGACAAAATCAAGACTTGACTGCGTGAGAGATGACGAGCTACCCGCAGAGGTAAGGAACTGACTCTCGTGAGGCAGTTGTAGGAGGAAGAGGCCCTCAGTAGTGTCGGTGTAGATATCACGTGAGGCTACGGGCATTGTGAGGCAACCCCAATAAAACTACTCCCTTTACGCGCGGGTGCTAGACGTTGAATACCTCTGCAGGGAGTTGCATACGACCCAACCCCAACTTGCAAATCTTAAGCGCGGGTTTCTCCATCGACATAGCTTCATACTCTCCGCAAGGTGATCTGTTGTATGTTTTCCCTTGATCGAAGTGGTAGTAAAAAAAATATTTAATACTAAAAACGGGATAGGATAAGCAGGCGGTCACTTGAAGCACACTATGCGAATTCGGAACTGATATTGGCAGATTCTCAAGGTAATAAGGTACCACTTGATCCTGCCATTGGTATTTGCATTACCCGGGCTCCCGTAGTCGGCGAGCTGTTTGTCGTCGAGCTTGAAGACAGTCGGAAAACTCAAGAAGTGTCATATTATATGTATGGTCAATCCCTGGGATGAGGATAAAACGCACAAACTAACCAGAAACACCAAAGCGCGTATTCAATCACCATGGCCCAATCTTCCGAACATAGGAGTTCCCTCATATGCTTTTCGTCGGATTGGGACAAGGTCTCGAATACTGTTATATCGATGGAAGTCTTCAAGAGAAGCGCCCAAATTGGAAAGTAAAGCATAGCTACAGTACAAGTTATTACTACTCTCCCAACTGAAACTATAGAACAAAGTGCAGAATCGAATCACAATCTATAAATCAGCATAAATCTATCAGAACACCCATACAGTCAATTGCATTGCTGTCCACGCCTCCCTCTAATTTGCCCTCAATACATATAATGTTCAAAAAGGAAATAAAACCAGACATTGAAAAGCATTACTAAGGGTCTCTGCCTGACCTGAAGCACTGCGTGAGTGAACATCTGCCTGCCACGGCGAATTACGGCAGCTTGCTGAGGGGCCTAGATGTCGTGACCTCTAACCCCTCCACGTTAATTTGCCAGCCACCCGGTTCAGATTGGCTCCCGTCGCCGTCAGGTCCAAAAGCCTCTTGACTCGACACGAATCTGTGAGCCCTTGTCGGAGTTTCTCGTTCATAGTCTCCTCCTGCCCATGTCTCAGCAGCGATGCATACACCATCCATTCCTGCGGCTTCCCGCATTCATCCCGGCCAGACTTTCCGAAGTTGATATGCCTAGATTACGAGGTGCGGAGCTATGCAGAAAAAAATATTCAGGTCCCCATGGTTAGTAGTGTATGCGCGGCTCCTTCTCCTCCTCTTCTCCCTAACACCCTCTCTCTGCTCCTCTCAATCCGTTCTACAAAATGAGGACGTTTCCCCTAGCAACCTGCTAATTATCAATTAAAGCTGCCGCGTGTTGGTGATCAAGATGCTGTCCCTTCACTCCGCGCTAGCTTCCACCAAGCCCCTCCGATCGCTGTGTCGACTCCCCTGCGCCAGGGCCGACCACACTCGCGCGCCGCCAGCCCTCTCCTGAGCTCGACCCGGAGCACCGTCGTCCATCTGCGGAGCAACATTGGTTCCAAGGGCGAGGCCCAGCAGTACCTGTCCCACTTCTCCTCCGTTTCCCCCAGCAGTTCGCCGTTATCAAGGTCAGCGGTGCGATTATCACCGAGCACCTCCAAAAACCCTGTCCTTGGCCCTCGCTTTCCTGAACCATGTCGGTCTTTACCCGATTGTCATCCACGGTGCTGGTCCGCAGCTCAACCGCACGATACAAGCCGCCGGTGCCGAGCCCCAATTTGAGAATGGGATCCGGGTCACGGATGGCAAGACCCCCGTCGCTGGCGCGCAAGCTCGTTCCGGAGGAGAACATAAAGTTGGTCGAGGAGCCGGAGCGTATGGGTGTCCATGCTCGGCCGATCACCGCCGGTGTGTTTTTGGCCGATTATCTGGACAAGCTCAAGTATAACCTGGTGAGTACGATCAATGGCGTGAAGAAAAAGCCTAGTGAGTCGGCCATTGCAGCTGGCTGCCTACCCATCCTGACTTCCATGGCCGAGACCCCCGATGGCCAGGTGCTCAGTGTTAATGCCAATGTGGCTGGTGGTGAGCTAGCCGGCGCTTTGGAACCATTGAAGATCGTTTACCTCACTGAGAAGGATGATCTGTTCAATGGTGATACCGGCAAGAATATCTCCGCCATCAATCTTGACGAGGAGTATGACCACCTGGTGACTCAATGGTGGGTCCGTCACGGAACTCGCCTGAAGATCAAGGAGAGCAAGATCTTGCTGAGCGACCTACCGCGCTCGTCCAGCGTGGCCATCATCCACCCTGCTCGTAACACAACTGATGCCAAGCGTAGAGGTCGGTCAACGAATCTATAGTTTCCAGTAAAACGCAAGTATTCAGGTTAGATAAAATCTAACTGCAGGGTAGGAGGCCGGTCAGTGAGGTAAGGAAGAAAGTAACAAGTTCAATTGTGGTAAGACTGATTCTTGAGGATTCCTCACGAATCTTTCACGGAACACTCTATTTAACATTGAGTCTCCAGGAGGACATCGAGGTTCAATATACCGTGATTCGGTGAGGACAACTCAACTAATGCAAGAATAACACGAGGGGGAGCATCTCTTATGAAACGTAAGAAAGAGGGTGCGTTATAACAATAGGCTCGTGCGGCATTCAGCCAGCCACGTTTTCACCTCCGCTTCATGGGCGAAGCGGTGCCGGTTATGAATAGCTTCATGAAAGAGAAGATAGTAACTCTCTACAACCAATTTTCCCTATGGCTAAATCAATCATGTCAGCTGGTATGAGGATGGCACTGGCTCCGTCATGTCCCAGAAATCCACTGTCACATCGCAGTTCTTGTAAACTGCATAACATTCCGTTCCCCCTCCAATTGCGGTGGGCAACCTAACCCAGTATGTGCCGTCGTAAGAGCCAAGATTGAAGTTATACGTCAAGTCGTGGTACCGAGAGTTGCTATATATAGACAATATTAGCAACGGAAGGTTCATTGTCACCTGGATAGCAGATGATGTCTTACCCATTGACTGCGGTTGACGATTGAAATTTGGCATACATAGTACCACCATGGAATCCGTCGGCATAGTAGGTGGAGCCTACATTGGTTGGTAGTTTATGTGTCTGGCGATGGTGATTTGAGCCGCAATTTGGAGAATTGATAACAGTGCATTGAACAGCTGCGTCGCAGTGCATAGCCAGCCTCAACATGACGACGGTTGCTAACAGAGCCTGTTTCGGACGGACACCTGGTGGGAAATAGGAGATTGTACGCATTCTGGAGGACGACGATATCAGCTAAATGAAGGCAAGAAGCCTACTTAACTTATGTTCGAAGGAGGATATAATGTGCTTCACCTTTTTTATCCGTAGTGTGTTGCGGCTTTTATAAGACCTTAAGTCTCCAGGGTCTGCTTTAAGCTGCACTACGAGACAAAATAAAAACTGTGTGAGAGGCTGGGAGCCTATTGGACAATACTGAAACAGTAGCAACATTCGTTATCTCGAGCAGATCCTGACAAACTAAAGGAGCGGTCAAATACCGCTATGGCCTTTTTGGGATAGGCTTGTTCATCGTTCACCCAATTTCCCCTAGTATTTGTATGGTATTCGGACTAAATTCGGATACGGTGTCTGTCGGGATATATCCTTCTATCTGAACAAGCTAGCGGTAACTTACTGCTGGCGACTGCCGGGATATCATCCCTTGCTTGGTGAACGCATTCTTGCACCAGGCTGCCGCCCCCGTGTTGTGACCGCCGAGGGCCGGCGTGTAGGATCCAGGGGTGTTTCCCAACTAGACTGAGGAGATAGATCTATCTACATGAATCAATCAACTTTCGCTTTAGGAGCATAAACACTGTTCAATTAAATGTGTACACGGTACCTAGCTGGTGATATCAACAGTGTCATAACACGCCAGAGCACGGACAGTAGGCTCGAGAGATCGCTCAACTGATCTACACACCTCCAATCAATCATCAGGTTCTATTTGGACATGTGCAGTACTAGCCAGTACATAAATTCCTAATCCTGTCAGATCCGTCTACGCTAGTGGGCCATGTTTCTGTTGGATCCCCTGTCCTGATGGTATTGTCCTGTCACCCTGATACGCACTACTCATGCATTAGGGTTAGACCTGTATCTATAATACTGGGTCGTGACCCACATAACTCTACTAGTAATACAACCATCATACACATGCTACAAGAGTTTCCCACATCAATAATTAACTACGCCAACATCAGTTAGCGCGTGCCTCCTACAAGGCTATCAGCCGACTCTGTAATTCTGGGAAAGGCGTCTCCTAACGGCATCTGGGCGCATTTTCCGCGATAATATTATTCGCGTTGCGGAATACCAACTCGATAGTAGTAGTAGAAGTCCCTAGAGAGGCATATTCTCATTTTTGGGCACGTTTGGCTTTGATTGCTGCATTTGCATCCTTTCCCTTCTTGCACGCATGCGGGTGGTAGAAACTGGAGGCCCGATTTCCGAAACTCGCGCTGCTGCCCTATTCGGGCTGTATCCGGTGCCCCGCATGCACGTGGCATTTACCCTACTTCTTCTGCCGGTTAAGCAAGAGAGTAACCCCTTCATAGCACCTGTATGTGGAGGAAGCTAGATCGGCTCAAGTTATTGATTAATTTGATTAACTTTTTTAGTTGAGCTTTCTAAGAAACTACCAGACCACCACCGCTCCACCACCGCTTCACCTGGCAAACAAAATAAGGAGAGGGGATAGGGGGGTGAATCCCGAAGTTTGAACTTGTTTTTTGCTTATCACTAGATTAAGAAGCCTTAACTAACCACAGAAGTTTGGTTGGCGGCTTGAGTCAAAACCTTATTGCCCCATCTTCCCCCCACACACGGCTCGGAAATTCGAGAACTCCAATTAGTCCAGTCATTATCTTCAAGCAATGTGGTCAATAATGCCGTGCTCATGCCACTTCTATCGGCACTAGGGAAAGACGTTTTACTAGCGGAAGCTTCTATCAGCACTAAAGAAAGACACTTCACTAACGAATAAATTCAGTCTACCCCACATCTCTTCAAATCCTTCATTAATGATTAACTGTTAAATAAAGAAAAAAATATATATACATATAAATAAATAGCGGTAATTGGCCGGGGACGCGAGAGCCTGAGCAAATAATGTTGAGATTCCTGCATGAATAGATGGTGTATACCAGATATATCAGGCATGAATCAGTCAGCGTACATCCTTCCATGAAGAGTACAGTTCGGGTAAAATTCTGTCATTTAAATAGGGTCTCTTTCTCAATGAGAAAGAGATCAGACTTAAACCACCTCTCTAGAATAGGTCAAATCCATGCCGTCTTGGGTTGTACATCCTGAATTTCCACAAATAAAGACATACTCATGTCGGACAGCCATTCAACAAAGGAGGATAATACCCAGGACACATTCCATATCCTTTGGCGAGGCTAGCATTCAGCCCAAATAAGAGACAGTAATATCGGAGGGGTCCGAATCGGGTACTCTATTAGGCAGCCGTCAAAGTGTATTAAGAGGGATAATAGCGATAGGAAGGTGGCCGTTTGGCCTACCGAAAGTGTCAGGGTATAGGCCCGGGTAACAGGTATATTAGGAGTTGGGGGTAGCGTGGGTCCGGAAAGATTGGTGAATTTCGTAGTGGCCGGTTATCTGTTCGGCTGTGTTATCCTTTCCGTCGTGGATTTCGTTACCACGGAATTGTACCCTGTCCGAAAGCGGCGCGGAAGCGATATGAGGTTGTAACAGGAATGGCCTCTATAGCTATGAAATACACTGGATGCCAATCAGAGCAACTGAATCAAAGAGGGAAAACAGCTGAGACCTGGAAAGCGTGTTGATTCTGGTGGACGATCTACTGAAGGCTGAGGGTTCAAATACCCTCGAGAATAAGGTGTCTCGAAGGATACCTGTCCGAGGTGGCAGAAGGTCGCAAAAAGGACGCTAAACCAAAGAGACGGTATTGGATGACCGCAGATCTCGGCTAGTCACAGTTGTACCTGACGAGTTAATACGATGCCTATCTCCATTTTCCTGACAGGTGTAACTTTCCGCCTTCAAGAACTAACAAGTTATCTGCATCCTGTGTGGCGCTATGTCAGAGATAAGGCTCATTTCCCGGATTAAACGAATCTTCCGATGTCTGATACGAACGAATACAGCTGGTAATGTCCCTGTAGGTATAAATAGTAGTATCCTCGAACAGTGCTTCTCCATACTACCGAACATTTTTACCAAGGCTACTTTGCTTTCAGCTCAACTCAACTACATCCATAATGCTAAGTCTATTTATTCTACTGCACTTGGGTGTTCGCATCGCACATGGCTATCCTAGCCCTGCACACCAGCAAAGTGCCAGAACCGCACCGTCGCTATTCCTCAAGACTCTCAGTGAAAGCAATGAAACCGTTTTTACTCCTTATAAATCCCTTGATTATGGACGGTGGAAACCTGACAGCACTGTCTATAACGGTGTTTCTATGGTTGAGAAGCATGCCGTTGTTGATGGCAAAAACTTGACATACCAGGACTTTGATATACCTGCACTCACAACAGAGCAGATTAGGAAGTATCTGATGTCGACTCCAGAGTTTTTCAATAGCGATGGGAAACTATCTTACACGCTTGAAGACGTTGAGAAATACAGGTAAACGCATACCGCGCTTACATTTATGGAACTTGAACTCACTACGATTCGAATATAGGCATTCCCTAATGTCAGCGGACCATAATATGACTATTGCTGTACCCAGTCGTTATGCCAAAAGAATCTTACCCCACACCACGGATGTTGAGTGTGAGTTTGGCAGCAGTTCATTCTGTATACCGGAATGCAGGAGAAGCTCGTCTAGGGCTGTTATTCAGTCGACAAACCCGAACGTCTATGGGGACTATCATTACGAAAGCGGCGCTTTGTGTGGCACAGGCTCTATATCAAAGAGCGTCTCCGTTACTGACGCGTCAGGGGTCAACATTGGGGGCAGTGACAATATTCCCGGGGTCAGTTTTGCGTATTGCTGCCTTTTAAAACTGCATATGCCTAACTTTAGCAACAGTTGGGGAAAGGATGGACGGGCGCACTAACAAAGTTTCTAAGCACCTTCGGGCTATCAACTTCTCACAATGCAAACACGTGAGTTAAATTAATAACCCAATCCCGATATGCAGAACTTAGGGAGTACTGATAACCCGTCTTATTAGCGTCACAACCACTATTTCCTATTCCGGCACTTGTGGGCCACATAATGTCTGCTTTCTCTGGGAGAGACCCCATTTTACCGTTGACAAAGGAGTCATTATTGTGAGTAGTGAGCAACTATTCTTGTCACTTTTAGCTGTGTAAGCATACTGAGTAAAGCAGACTCAGGAGTTTGATATCGCCACCAATAAGGCTTGCGGCTCTCCAACTGTGACGCCGTTTGAGGCCCATATAATGCATCAGGATAGCGATGCTGGAGGCGCTGGTATGTACCTCTCCATCTCATCAGTTCCTATGTTCTATTTCACCTGCTTTGTCTTCCCTGCTCTGCTACATCATTAAAACAAACGAGAAAAATGAAGGCTTGCTAATTGGATAGCTGACTATGGTGCTTGCTATTCTATGACGTACCATGGGTGCCCAGGCCCGGTAGAAGCTTCATCTACACTTCCCCGCTGTCCAGATGGCTATTGAGCACTGTACACGACTTGGACAGATGACTCTGCACGATATGCTTTAGGTATCCCTGTTTTTGGTGCTATCATTACTCCGTTCGGCTCACCCTATACCTCTGATTATAAACAGCCCTATTCGGATACGGGGCATGAGAAGACTCGTGAACGAATCAACGCTTTATCAGGGAAAGTGGGATATTTGATGCAGTGCTCATTGACAATATATTTTGTCAACATGGAAACCAGCTATCGCTTTTCGAAGCCCCGAAGCACACTCGTCCACACCAACGGCTCTGTCGACCCGAGATTCCATTTATGTGGCAGTATCATCCTACTGTGCTTTATCTACCACATGTCTCAGTGCCCTTCATCCATAAGCGATACGGCCACAGCTTTGGTTTCTCTCTTAGCCAATCGCGTTTGTTTTGGGACTTCTACCTTTTGTCACTACGTGCTGGATCGGGAAAGCACCTCCCTTCTTCCTACTTCCTGCTGGACCACCTTGGAATTATTCTTCACATATGGGGGACATCTGTATCAGTCTTGCTTTTAGAGGCTACTGATAGCGGGAACAACAATTCCATTTTCCTGGAAGTCACACTGGGCGGGGTGGTCTGTGCCACTTATTTGATAACCTGGCCAAGAGAGAAGAGCGAACGAGTGCTGGTGATTGGAGGGTTTGGAGTCTTGGTTTTATGCAGCGTCTCGCTCTACAACGCTGTCTTTTCTGATATATCTCGACTGACAGCCTCTTATATCTTTATGGCTTTGGTTAACGGCATCGGAGGGTGGTTCTTCTCTCATGGGTCTATTCAAGTCCTGAGTCAACGTTTTCCCAAGCCCTATACTGTGTCGGGGCATACGTTGATGCACCTATGCTCCCTGATTGCATCCATATTTCACGCCTCAATCTTGGTTTCTTCTGTTTGTACTGTATCGGGGGCGGAGTGCCAATCAGCAATCTTTACCCGTCCCAGGATATATCTAAAGTGCCCTGGGATATACATCGTCACCGCCCTACATGGAGATAGGGTTATGGGTGCGCAGAATAAAAATTGATATCTGATATCCGGGTACATGTAACTACTTCCTGTAAAATCTTTCCATCTCTGGTCGTCTTTAAGCACGAAGTAAGATACAGGACTCAAATAACGAACTTTGGAAAACCACCCCCACTATGCATTTCACAATATGGGATTCATCGATAATTCTTCGGTACGAGCCAGTTTGGGGAGCTTTCCCTTTCGACGTCCGCCCCCATATTTTATGGATAATTCTTCCATCATAATTTTTTATCGGCTTAGGATATGTGTTGCTCTGTTATCTGTCAGGAAAACGGAATAGGGGCGATGTAGAGCGACTATGAATTATTGATCGCGTCAAAACATACCAAGCTTTCTGTTGCAGGGGGCCAGTTTGGTGACTGTGATGCGAGCGTATATATCAATCCACTTTTCCTCATACGCAGAACTAGGTAAACATCTGCTTCACACTCTTGAGAGTACTCGAAAGTTTTCTTAAACAGGCTGTGTCTTCCCCTTAAGATTTTCTGACCGTCCCTCCTGGATTGTGATGTTTTTAAATGAATACCTACCCGATCTAAAGAACAGCGTGTCGCACATGCTTGAGTGTCCATAGTGAGCTGAGTGAAATCGATTAGACACACTTTCAAGCTGAAGGCCTTTGGTCTGGCTTTATGGGAGCCTTGACTGAGCTAAAAATAGGTTGTGGGTCTCGTGGAACTGAGATTGACCAAATCGTCTCCACACTGACGTAGAACCTTTTCTCCTTGCCCTGGAGGCCTTCCTTTACGATCAGAGACTCCCAGTGTGAGAGTGGTCGTGCCACAAATGGTGCTGAAGCGTCTAGAGAAATTATTTTATCTTCCTCCAAGTCTTTGTATGAAGTTGACAAAGAGCTTGTTGTGGTAGTGGAGGTGCGTGGGAAAAAGCCTATTGGATGTCCAACTTCGCGGTTCAGAACCGCCTACTCTGCGACCACCAGGCTCACGGGGTCTTTGCTTGGAGACTAGAACCTTCGATCCAGCATTGCCCCTCCATTCCGTCTGGTCGCGCGCCATGCCCCACCCTGGCTTTAAATTGGTCGTTCCCCCCAGTCCCCTCTTCCGTCTCTTTTGTCCCCGACTTTCTTCCCAGCTTTGGCTTTCCCTGCTCAGGTGCTGCGCACCTGTGCGTCCCATCCTTATTGTACATTTGGCTCCCCTCCCCACACTCGTTTTTCCTTGCCTCTTTATTGTTTGGTCTGCATTAATACGGGAATTACAACATGTCCCAAGAGGAAGGCTTCATGCAGCAATGGGGGTTTGGACTATCTGAGCTACATTGTTTGATATTGACAGATCCCAAGGACTCATCTTCAAATGAGGATTTATCGGGCTATCAGCAATTTGCAAGGTCTGAAGAAGTAAGTATCAGAGCTTGGATATCATATAGGCTGCGGATGATTGTCAGTTCCCTGGTTTGGTTCGATATAACTCTTAGCCCTTCAATCCCTTCCAGAGGCTCAGAGGCATGATGTGGCCGCCAAAGTGGGTATTACATCGTTGATGGCAACCATACGTTGTCTCGACACGCCCGGAAATCAAGTCTTACTGGACTCGCAGGTTGGAGAAAATGACGGTGCATAGCTTGTTCCATTTCAACTTCTGCTTTGATTTGCTACGCAATTTGTTCGACACTGCATGTACTGATTTTATACCTGTAGGTCCTACGACGGAAGCCACTGGCTGGGGTGAGTTCAGTGAGTTCACCCACGATCTCGGTATCTCGCCCATACCTTCGAACTCGGAGATTAGTCCGCCAAAACCACAGCCTTTGGAAACAACCTCCTATCCAACCCCCAGTCAGTTCCCAGTCCGGACGCAGGAACCAATACCTTAGGCTCTGATTTCTCGAGTCCGGCGGATCTCGATCCTTTCCAGTTGCTGGATGTGCCAAGACCCGCACATTTGTACCCGACCCAGTCCACATTCGATTGTACGCCGCGACCGGCAACTGGCCTAGAGGGTTCTACGCTACATAATGCGCCCGAACATATGAATGGCATTGGCATGGGTCCACCACTGGAAGAGCCAGCGGCGCTCATCTCCCAAGCTGCTGAGCAATGTTTAAGTCCACATATGGTGGATGACCCTGCTGAGGGAAATCAATCCGCTAGTCAGTCTCTTTCCCTTGAAGCTTTGCAACATGCCCAGGTCCCTGAAGTTGCGCCCCTAGACCATGCTCAAAACATGATACTATTTTTTCCGGATTTAAGTACAAACAAACTTCGACAAGCTATGGAACTAGGTGACCAAGACTTGGCCCACTTGGAATCACAAGTCAATCACTGGCAAGCTGAACGATTGTGGAGTTTCGTGGGTGTTTCACCAGGGTCGTCTGCAAGACAAAGGATCGCTGGAATCTGTAGATACATCAAAGACATGGGCAATCCAAGCGCGGAAAACTACATGAGGATCCGACTCGCAAAAGTCCAAGTCAACATGCTCTATGAGACCATCTGCAAAGAGGAAAAGAATCGGCGTCTCGGTCTCGGACCGAGGAAGTTCACCACCCATGTTCTTAACTGCATCGAGGCAGCCATTAGCAATCCTGGTGACCGACGCCTTCCTGTTCCCAGAAAGTCACTTGTTCGCGACGCTATCTTTCGATATAAGCAGGTTGGTAAAAAATGGTCGGTGTCACAAGGTCTAAGTATGACGTTGCTTGTTGGCCAAGACTGTGGAAGGACAATGTAAGCGCTACCATAAAGGTCGAAAATTCCCTGGCTAAAATCATGCAGAGAAAATGGCCAATTCACTCAGATGCAGATGAAGGCTTTGATGTTCCATGTTTCGGCAACTCGGCCTGATATTATCAGTCTCTGCAGCAAATTAGAACATGCTGTCAGCTATTTTCTGGCACATAATCAGTTGCCAGCGCATCCCACGTTGGACGACGTTCGAAAAATGATAGGGATTCACAATTCAATGACAGCGATCGTAGATTAACAGGGATGGACAGATTAAAGATTGCGCCGTTTTCTTCAGATGAATATCCAAGTCCAATTTTGGCCTGGAAATTTGGCCTGCGCTATTTTGCGTTTGATTTTGCATGGTCGAATTCTTTTCAGCTTAGCTGCAAATAGAACATGAATCAATTATTCCCGCCATACCACGTTCAAGCAATGGGTCCTCTCATTCACTGCGTAATTTCCCAGTCAAGATGAGGAGCTCCAAGCAAATCGGCCATTCAAGGACGAGGAGTTTTCATGCAAGATGCAACTCCCAACGTCAAGCTCAACCTTCGTTCTCCAATCCGGAAAAGGGACCGAGTTACCTCAACTCAACAAACTCCGAGACTGGACATGCACCGTTGACCTTAAATGGCAATAACTCAAATCGATACAATCTCCGACCAAACAGACCCACACCCTTCGCAGAGCAAAAGCCACGATATATGGTTGACCGCGTCCGTTTCCCTCACTTTTTCGAATCGTATAGCAATCTCTCAGGCCATACAACTTACCAGACAGTGAATACTTTCCTCCATCGCATACACCTACACCGAGGAAATGACCCTTTTTACCTTACAAAACATACCATGGAGTGTGTAGGCACTCAATCATGCTGCCATGCGCGAGGGTCTGGAAAAATGTAACGTTTCCAAAGGGCCAGTTAGTGGGTACATACCCTTTCAGATCGACATTAATAAGGGGACGAAGTGTCCCCCCAAATCAGCGGAGCAAAACTGGGGTCAGATTTCCGCCCAACTGTTAAACACTGCAAACGGGTCACAGTTAGGTTAGAAGGGTTCTGGGTTATTCTTGCCTTATTCTCAGACCTCGAATGGATCCGCCCCAAAGGCGGATCCGGACCTAACTCTTCGA